AGCTGTGCGCCCCTGAGCAGGCCCTGCATCCGTCTGCGCCCCTCTCCCCCTCTGCAAACTGAGAGGTTTACCCGACAGGCCTCCAGGCTCACTGGGCTCCTCAGGGCACCCAGTGTGATGTGAAGCTGTGTTTCCCCCGGGCCTCATCCTCGGTGGGGAAATGGACTCTGGAGTCTCTGTCAGCTGCACTGTGCTGGCGAAGGGATGGCTCCAGCCATGGTGCTGGGTTTTGGTCCTGGGACCTACAGGGGTGAGGACATTGATGTGGGGACATAATCCCGGACCATCCAGTGGCCCAACGTCATCGCGGGTCCTCAAAGTCCTAGAACCTCTCCCGCTGTGACCAGAGACACCCCAAGTCTGCCCCTCCCACAGCCCCATCACTGGGCAGACCCAGGCCTTTTATAAGGGGATCCCCGAGGGTCACTGAGCGGGGCCCCATCCATCCGAGTCCTCAGAGTTAGAGGGCTTTTGATACTGGCCTCCAAACACTTACTATGGAAATGACATACAGCCCTAGCCAGTTAGGCTCAGTGAATAGAGGACCGGCCTGCGGACTGAAGGTGCCAGGCTCGATTCTGGTCAAGGGCACATGCCTTGGTAGCAGGCTCTTCCCAACCCGAGTCAGGGGGCAGGCAGCCAATCGATGTGTCTCTCTCAAATCAATGTTTCTCTCTCTTCCCTCTCCCTTTCACTCTCTCTTAAAAAATCAATGTAAAAGTATCCTCTGGTGAGGATTAGGAGAAGAAGAAGAAGAAGAAAAAAAAGAAGAAGAAGGAGAAGAAGAAAGAGAATGAATACACAGGCAGACCTCAGAGATGCCCAGGTGAGTTCCAGGCCACTGCCACAGGCAGATATTGCTAGAAAGCTTGTCCGTGTCAGTTTGTCAGTTTCATGCCCATTCCAGTTCCGGAGGACATGGCGGTGGCTTCCCTGCCGATTCTCGAGCCTGCACGTCTGTGGGGATGTGCCTCCTGCGGCTGCTGGGCCCGGGGCCTGGTGAGGTGGGTGAGCTGGCACGTGTAAGGTGGGGTGGCCTCAAAGGAGCACCTGGTGAGCTCCGTGCACATGCCTCGGGCGCTGCCGGCGGCTGCTGCCACTTCCCGTCAGACCCGGGGGGTTGGGGTGGCCCATTGTCCCACGGCCTGGTCCATGTTTAGCATTTCCCGTAATTTCCCATGATCCACCTCAGCGGTATCTCATGAGAGTTTGAATGTGTTTTTCCTTAAATGCACACAGGCTCTTAGGCATCTGCACACCCTCCTTTGCAAGGTTTGTGTTCAAACCTCTGGCTCAGTTTCCTGTGAGACCGACTGTTTTTGAAATGTGTACACGTTCTTGGATATGTTGCATGATATTCAAAGAACTGCTTTTCCTCAGAAGACACCAAAGCGTGTTTCTTTCCATCAGGGTCGAGCTGGGATACGCAGATCGTCCCCAGTGTTTGAGGAGAGAGTTTAGAACCAAGAATGATGAAGTGCGTGTGAGTGATTCCTACCGGCCTCGTGCAGGTGGCGACTGCAGGAAACAGCCACCCCGCCAGGCCCGGAGGAAGGAGGGCAGGTGGACAGTCCTGAACTCAGGGCCCAGCTGGTTCTGGAGGTGGCCCAGCTGGGCAGGGGCTGTGAGTGGTGCCATCTGCTGGCTGCTGCAGGAACAGCCTGGGGGAAATGTGTGTGTGTGTGTGTGTGTGTGTGTGTGTGTGCGCGCGCGCGCGCGCGTCATCTGCTGGCTACCATGGGAACAGCCTGGGAAACTGCACCTGGATCTGCTGGCAGCTGCGGGAACTTGCCTGCTAGGGGAAATGTGGTGGTTGCCATCTACTGGCCACTGAGGGAACTGTCTGGAGGAAATGTAGGGGGCACCATCTACTGGCCAACGAGGGAACTACCTGGTCCAGGTCCCCTCCTCAACCATCCGGGTCCTCCGGGTCCCCCTGTGGGCAGCTGTCCCAGCAGAGCGAGTGCCTGGGTCCAGGCCCCGTCACCCACGGAGAACGAAAGGCCAGAGGAAAAACTGGGTGAGAGGGGCGGCCAGCGGCGGGCTTGCCCTCAGCCTGAGTGATGCTCAGCCCCAGCACCCCTGACCTGAGCAGGTGCTCCTTTGAGGCCGCCCCACCTCCCACGTGCCACTCCCAGCAGCCCTGCGAGGGGGGACCCTCCCCATGCCCACCTGAGGACAGGAAGCGGGGCGGCAGGGTTTAAGTGACCCGTCCAAGGTCGCACGGTGGGGACACGCCAGATGGAGCAATCAAATTCAGTCCATCCTCACACCCCAAAACAGAGAGGATTTACCGACAGAAAGCCTTGACGGATGATGGTAAGTGAGACGGGAACGGGAATAGCGGGCCCGCTGACTTCAGGGAAACCTTTGCAGGAATCAATATCTCGTAAAAGCAGGGCCGACGGCCTCGGCAGGTCCTTCTGGACCATCTCAGCCTTCCCTGCCCTTTCTCAGCTGGTGCCGGGGGACCTCGTGGGGGTGGTACACGCACACGTACACACACCATGCACGCATGCACATGCCACAGATTCTATCGGTGCGGTTCTTGGAAATGACACTGCCCGACGTTGCCTTTGCCACCGTGGCTTGGAGACAAGGAAAGGCTCCAGGCTGGAGGACGCGGAGCTGAGGGAGGAGGGAGCGCGCCTGCCAGAAGCGGGTTAGGCTCTGCATCTTCCATTTATCATGCCAGAGGCTCATCAGCAAGATTCACGCTTGAGCGACTCAGAATAATAAGGGCTTCGCCACCCTGAGCTCAGAGGCCTGAGCCTGGCACAGAGCAGCCTGTGGGGCTGACGGGTCCCATGGTGCTCCCTGTCCCGGGGACGGGCCTGGCGTAAATTTAAACCTGCACCGTCAGCTTGCGGGATGGCTCGTGGTGGCGGCTGCCCAAGTGTCTGAGCCAGCGCCGAGCCCCTGCCTGGCGGGGGATGGGGGGACACAGAGCAGGGCACGTGGGCTGGGCTGTCTCCCGGTGGCTCTCTGACTTTTCACGTCTCCACGCATCACAGGGAGCCGAGCCCTGGGTCTCTTCGCCCCCGGCCTCCTGGGGCACCAGAGCGGTAGGCATCCCAGCATGGGCATAGCAGGGCTTATGCCCTGTGTGTGTGTGTGTGTGTGTGTGTGTGTGTGTGTGTGTCTCATCTCCGCTACTATGGTGAGTCTTTGGGGGGAAAAAATAAAGTCCAGCCCAGCCAGTGTGGCTCAGTGGTTGAGCACCAGGAGGTCACAGTTCGATTCCTGGTCAAGGGCACAAGCCTGGGTTGCAGGCTCCATCCCCAGTAGGGGGCGTGCGGAAGGCAGCCCATCCAAGACTCCCTCTCAGTCGGGGCTGTTTCTCCCTCTCCCGGCCTCTCCCCGCAATCAATTTAGAAAACGTACAGAGCACACCTCCTTTTCGTTTTCTTACGCGTCCAAGTAATGGCTTATAATTATGTTCCCTCATCAATTATGCATAGCGGTGACATCGTGGGAGAATACGAAGCTTTCGGGAGCCGGTGCGGGGAGGGAGTCTCAGAATCCAGAGCCAACCGGCCTTGCAGAGCAGCCCGTCCTCCTGTGCCTGGCTTTCCACCTTGTTCCTCCGGTAATGAACAGAAAGTGACTCTGGCTCCTGTCGGCCAGTAAATAATTGATTCGGGAGCTGCCAGAGAACTCTCAAAATCGGGGGCATTGTTGCCTCAGCTCCAGCCGGGAGTGCTGCCGACGGGGCCTCTGGGGGAGCGAACACGGGCTGGCTCCCCGCTCTCTGTCCCCGGGGCGGCGGGGCCTGACCGTGGGCCTGCAGCTGGAGCGCCCGCTCCTGAGCCCCGGCGCCGAGCTCCGGGTGGGCGGCCTGGGAGACGGCCCGCGGGCTGCCCGGTCCCTCCGTGGCTGTGGCAGCCACCAGCCCAGATGGCTGATGATGTCATGTTGGACCCTGGACCGCTGGAGGGAAGCCTCCAGGGCAGCTGCTGCCCCGCCCCCCTCACCCGTTTAGAGGGAGCGCCTGGGGCCACGCCACCACTGAACCCCCGTCCCCTAAGGGGTCTCCCACTCCTCAGAGGGACGTGGCCCGCCTTCTCCAGGAGCTGCCCACCGCCCCGGGTGCCCGCTATGTCGGGGAGACACCTGCTTGCGCCTCCGGCCCTGCTGACTCTCCAGCCAAGGGCGCGGGGAGTCCACCTCGTCATCTTTTTTCTCCTCCCTCATGGCCCTCAGCCGCCTGCTGGGACGCGTCTGTTTCTTTCCCTGTCACGCGGGGCGCCCGCACAGGTGCCATGGGTGGGGCCACTGCTCCGAGTCTGGATCTTCGCGGGCACGGCCAGATTGTTCTCAGCTCTGGGCCTGGTTTGCAGGCCATCTCAGCCTCTTTCTGTCCTCGGCTTCCCAGGTAGCTTCTCCTCCAACCCCTTACTCAACGCGTTGTCCATCTTTCTGTTTGCCACCCACGGAAAGCCTCCTTACTCACGTTTCTATGGATAACGTCATAGGAGACATTGTTCTCCTTCCTCATGCTGCAAATAGTAAACGGAGGTCATGTGCGGCTGAGGGTATATTTCCTAGAATTTGGGGACCCAAACCCTCTTCCTGCTTTTGGAGCTATATTTACCGAGACCCTCATTCAACCAATTTCCCTTCTCTCTTCTCATTCCCACCCAGGGTAGCTGGACTGCACGGACCTTGGTGGGTTGCAGACCCTGGACGGGTGAAATGGAGGAGGAAGCGCGTGGCAGGAGCGGGAGGGGAAGGAGGGGGGTGGGGACAGACCCACAGATGGCAGCTCGGCGACCTGGAGCAGGGCTCCAAAGGGGACATAGGCCGCCTGCTTTTCCAGCCCTTGGGGCTCGGCTGCCGGGTGCTGTAGCGTGTGCTCTGCCGCCGGCGGCCGCCAGGGGCGCTGTGGCACACGCACGTGCCTTCCCCGCGGCGGCCGCCAGGGGCGCTGTGGCGCGTGCGCGGCGGCGGCGGGACGCAGGGCGCCGCCCCGTCCCAGCATGCCGCGCGGGTAAACAGACATGGCGGGCGAGGGGGACCCGCAGGAAGCTGCGCACGACATGGGCAACCACCTGCCGCTGCTGCCCGGTTGGTAACCGCCGGCCGGGCCGGGGCGGGCGGCGCGGCGCGGGGCTGCAGCGCGTGTCCGGCCCGCGGGCCGGCGCGGGGCCGCCGGGCGGAGCGGGGCGGGGCGGGGGCGGGGGCCGGGCCGGGCCGCGCCGCCACCTCCCGGGCGCCCTCCCCGGGTGGCAGCCCGCGTGCCCCGGGCGCACGTCTCCGCCGGCCCGGCTGTCACTGCCGCGGCGGCCCGGCGGGCGGCGCAGCCCCGCGTTCTCATTGTGCAAACCCCGGCCGCCCGCCCGCCCGGAGCCTCAGTCCCGCCGGCGGCCGCGCCGGCCCGCGGGGTCCGGTGGAGGCGGAGGCCCGTGCAGTCAGTCCAGCCACTCCGCCGGGAGGGGAAGGGAGGAGGGAGACGGATTCAGGGAGGGTCTCAGCACACAGGCGGCGCTCGGCCTCGCCCTCCTGCCGGTGTGGCTGTGACCAGGGCCGCCCAGGGGCGCTCTTGGGTCCTCAGAGGGGCATCTGGGGAGCCTGGGAGCGCGTGCCCAGGTCCTGGCTGTGCAAGCTCAGGCCGCAGGTGGGGAGGGGGAGGGAGAGGTGGATGGGTGCCTGCACCTCCTGCCGCTGGGTTGGGGAGGGAGGGAGGTTCTGTGCAGGAAACAGTTGTGGTGCAGGCAGTTGCCTAAGGAAAGCTGTGCCTGGAGGGGAGGCTGTGCACCGGGAGCGGTGTGGTTTGGCCCGCGGAAGAGGCTAAGGGCATGCACACCGTGCAGGGGGGGCCCGTTGTGCACAAACAAACGCGAGGTGAGTCAGAGGGCTCTGCAGCCAGCAGCCGGACTAACCGGAAGCTCAGTGTCGGCGCTCCCCGCCCTCAGCCGTCAGCCCGGCTCAGCACCTGCCACCAGGGAGTGCCAGGGAGGACGGCCCCTGCGTGACCCGGGCTCGGACTTCACTCCGCTGGTTCCCAACAGTTAGGATTTGTCCAAAAGTCAGAGGGAGAGGCCCAGGGAGCTTGTAGATGCGATGATAGTGCTTTTCTTGAATCACATAGGAATTTAAAAAAAATGTATCTTTATTGTGGAAAGTGTAACGTATTGTCCCCTTGGCATATGGGAATTATTTGTAAGGAAACATTGGGCTGTCCATACCCCCTGCACTATGAGTTGCTTCAAAGAACAATCCTCTTGAAGTGCCATGGAAATAGCTAACTATTTAAATGCAAAGAATCTGTGTTGGCCGAGGAAACGCTGGCGGACAAGCAGGACCTTCGGGGAAGTGAGGCTCAGCCTCATGTATGAGAAAGGCTGTACCACAGGGTGTCCCCCAAAAATGCATGCACACCTGGAATAGTGATTATTTCCCTGGTTCTTTCTTTTCAGATTTAACCCATTGGAACGAATACTTACTCAAAGTGTCTATACATTTTGGGGTGGGACACTCTTTTATGTCAGGAAGTCATTTGGGGACTAGAAGTCAGAATGGCTGGAATGTGAATTTTAAAACCATGGATTCTAGCCGCGAGCTAACCTCGGACCTGCTCCACCTCCTCTGGTGCTGCCCGAGGGCCCATGGAGGCCATGCGGTCAGGACTGCAAATATAAGGAGTTAGATTCAGAGCATTTTTATCATCAGTTTATATTTTTCTTCATCTCTTGGTGACACATCTATGCTCTCAGGAGAAATTGGTACTTATATGACGTGCCAGACCACCGGCCGTTAGGGTGTAGGTGAAACAATGACACCTCTTTGCCAAAGCCTTCTATCCAGGAGTTCCCAGGGATCCACCGCAAGCCCAAGGCAGTTCCCCTATTGCCGGGGTCAGCAAACCTCGGCTCTGGAGCCACGTGCGGCTCTTTGGCCCCTTGGGTGTGGCTCTTCCACAAAACACCACGGCCTGGGCGAGTCTATGTTGAAGAAGTGGCGTTAGAAGAGATTTAAGTTTTTAAAAATGTGGCTCTCCAAAGAAATGTCAACCATTGTCCTGTTGATATTTGGCTCTGTGGACGAGTGAGTTCACTGACCGCTGTCCTATCGCAAGGCATGTGTGTTTTCCAGTCAGGGGCCTCGCTGGAGGTGGTTTGATTTCAGTAATGATGCTCACAAAGGAAATGACTTTCGGGGATGACGTTTTATCTACTAAGAGGGCTCTTTGGGGCGTTTAGAAATATAGAAAACGAGAGTCGAGATGAGATGCACTAAGTCTTTATGGTTATTCTAGGCCAGGGCTTCGCTTGGCTCCGTGGCATTTGGGCTGGAGACTTCTCTGTTTGGGGGACCGTCCTGTGGCTTGTTAAGCAGCATCCCTGGTCGCACCACTGAGGGGCACCCCCCTTCCTATCGCCCCCCAACGCCCCCAGTGGAGCAGCCCTGGCAGGGGTAGGAGTCGCAGGGGCTGGCCTGAGGAGGACAGACCCTATTGGAGAGACGAGCACCTCTTCAGCACAGCTTTTTCCAACTTTCACACCGATTGTCAGTGAAGTCAGGGTGTAAGTAGGTCAGCTTAGCTCTCCTAACTCAGAAGTTACGTGTGGAGAAAGCTTTCAGAGGCATTTCTTTCAAAATGTGTCGTGTTGCACGCGAGCTTTAAAATCCGAAGCAGAACGTGTGTGGAGATGCTTGCAGGCACTTCCTTCACAGGCATTTTGAGTGCTGGCCAGGGAGATGAAGTCACCGCCATGGAAGTCCTTCCGCCGGGGCTGTGCAGTCATGAGTGGGCCTCCCCCCTTCCTCTTTCCTGTGGGAATCGTTCAAGTGAAAGTTTGAAAGAACCTACAGACTGTCTGACTCATTCCTGTCGCTCAGATGAGTTTGATCAGCTGGCACGGGTTGTCCTGCGTGTGCCTCCTGCAGAAGGGTCCAGCAGTGTGTGCCGTGCCCCTTTAGGGAGGGGACCCCGTGCCCCCGCAGTGGGCGCTGGGCCAGTGTGTGCCTTCACCGTGGAGGAGCCCCACAGTCACGCCCTCGGCTGGTGGTCCGGTCCGTCACAGTGGCAGCCTTTCACCTCGTGGTTTTCCTCCCGGAACTGGTAACCTCAGTCTAGTCCTGAACAAAGTGCCCGACTCAGCTCCAGCCGGAGAGCCCGGAGCAGCGAGGCCGGGAGACGTGACTGCATCGTGGCCTCCCGGTGGGCCCTGCCTGGAGCCGGGAGGGACTCGGTACAAACCAGGAAACCCAGATGAGGGGGCGTGAGCCAGCCGACTCCTCCGGTGCCAGGCTAGCTCTGGAGGTGGGCGTGAGAAGGACAGGAGCGCAGCTTTCTGTAACCCTGAAGCTTTCCTAGAACAGGACCGTAGTAAGAGGCCCAGAGCTATAGTAAGAGGCAGAGCCTGGGCCAGTCCCCGGCCCTGCGGCCTCCTCACCGGCTGCAGGGAGTGGGACCAGAACCTGCCCTCCAGGCTCGGACCGGGGAAGGGCTGTGCCTGCGGGAGGGGCGCAGCTCGGATGGTGTCAGCATCCGTTTGTGCTCACGTGTCTGGTTTCCCCTCACAATGTTCTTTCACAGCAGAGAACGAGGAGGAGGAGGACGACGAACTGGAGATGGAAGTTGAAGACCAGGATAGCTTAGAGGCCAAAAAGCCAAGTGTCATAAACTTTGACACCAGTCTGCCAACATCGCACACGGTACGTGGCTCCTCGGCGGGTCTGACGGACGCACGGTTACTGCAGGGAGAAGTTCTCAGCGGGGGCCCGGGTGCAGCCCCGCTAGCTGCTCACACCAGAGGCTGGGGGCCGTGGGCGGGGCCCCAGAGCCGCTCCCTGGGACTTTCCTGCAGTTTCCTGCCGCCTCCTGCTGTCACCCTTAGCAGATTGTCCCCCTTCCTGTGTGTTTCTGCTGGTCTTGGAGCCACTAAGTTCCTTATTCTCTGCACCACGAGGTGCTGGGGCGCTGCTTAGCCTACTGACCTCTGACCCTGTCATTGGTGATGTTTGGGCACCGAGATGTTCTTATCTTAGTCAAAATAAAGTCTTTTGAACCAGAAGAATGGTCTGGAAATTCTAAGAGCCAGAACTAGGCTTCCTCGGGATTGCTGATGCCCCAAGTTCATTGTTACTTGAGCAAATGTCAGTGCCCCTGTGTATGTCCCCCTGGTTTGGCCTGAGTCTGTGGCGTGTGCGGTGACGCCCACTCTGCCCGCTCTGCCCGCAGTACCTGGGGGCCGACATGGAGGAGTTCCACGGCCGGACCGTGCACGACGACGACAGCTGCCAGGTGATCCCGGTGCTGCCGCAGGCGGCCATGGTGCTCATCCCGGGCCAGACGCTGCCCCTGCAGCTCTTCAGCCCGCAGGAGGTCAGCATGGTGCGCAGCCTCATCCAGAAGGACCGCACCTTCGCCGTGCTCGCCTACAGGTGGGCTCCGTGCTGGACACATGCTTGTGAGGCGGCCTGCGTGGGGGAGAGGCCTTCACAGCCAGAGTCAGCGATGGCTGGCGCAGACTGAGGGCTGCTCAGTTGTGCGGAGGGAAGGGGCGTTGGCTTAGGGACAGCGTGGGTCACCGTGAGCCCTGGGCGCGCTCGGGCGGGAAGCCTGTTCTTTCCTACGTGTGCTCCCGCAGTGCGCGGCCAGCCGCCTCCTATAGCCCGTTCCCCGGGTGGCATCCGCGTGGCTTTGCAGCGAGGGTGATTACTGTAATCTGCCTTCCCGGGTGCAGCGATTTCGTCAGCTTTGCATGTCTAAAAATTAAAATTAAATGTTCCCAACTGTCTCCCTCTGGAATCTGCCCGAAGCAACGTGCAGGAGAGGGAGGCGCAGTTCGGGACCACGGCGGAGATCTACGCCTACCGGGAGGAGCAGGAGTTCGGGATCGAGGTGGTGAAGGTGAAAGCGGTCGGAAGACAGAGGTTCAAGGTCCTGGAGCTGAGGACGCAGTCGGACGGGTAAGGGCCGCCGTCTCTCACAGCTAAGGAGACGTCTCCAAACGACGTGTGTTTCTCATATTTGTTTACTCCACTCCCCTTCCAACTTCCCAACCTGTGAGTAGTTCTCTTTCCCTGGAAGCCGTGGCCAGTGGTGCCCACGTTTGCTGTGCATCAGCCACCGGGATGTTTGTGATGCTGCAGCAGCCCGAGTGCCTGGCTCATGCCCATCCTGGGAGCCCCTCCCCCAGGTCCCCGGACCCTGAGTTCCCTGAGGTCAGAGCAGCGGGCAGACCCACAGGGCGGGGCATTGGGCATGGCTCTGGATGGAGGGCCTCTCAGCAGAGCATGGTGGAGCTCAGAGGTCATGGGCCTCTGACGTTAGGAGTTCTGGGTATTCAGTTTCACCAGTTACCGGCTCAGCTCTCAGGAGGAACTAGTGGCCCGCTGGGGGATCAATGCCCCGCCTCCGGGCCGTGCAGAGCGGCCACCAGCCCTGCCCCCGGAGTGCACATATGGGGCCTTGGAAACCTGGCAGAAGCCATGAGAAGCGGACTCTGGGACCCCCGTGCCCTGCAGGGCCGCAGGAAGCCTGGCAAAAGCCGAGCGGAGTAGCCGCTGGCCCTGGCCCCACTGCCCTGCCCCTGCTGTGGGCGCTGCCATCTTGTGATGGTGTTAGGCGTGAGGGTTAATTTGCATAGTACCTCTTTATTATATAGGAGGATAGTAAACTCATTTTTAAAATCTAGTCCACCTTAATTTATCCCTTTTTAAAAACACACACAGACACAGACACACACACACACACACACACACACTAGCATCTGTCCTGATCGCTGCTGGCATCTCTCGGGCGTGGCCTGGACTCTGGCACAGGTGGCTCCCCGTCATCCAGGAGATGCTGGGTTCTGCCCAGGGCACTCCCTGTGAGACATCATAGCTCAAACACACCGCACTGTCGCAGGAGTCTGTCTGTCTGTCTCCCTCGGGGGGTGAGCTGCTCCAGGACAACGGCTGAGACTTTGCCTCCTCCCTTAGGCCCAGACCTTTCGCCTGAGCGGGTAGAAGTGTGTCCCGAGGGCCCTGCCCTGAGACACTGAGCGAGCTGCTTGTCACTGATTGCCTAACTGCTCCGTTCTCAGTGCTTCCTGGCCTCCTGCGTGTGAAATATTTATTAGTGAACACTGTGTTCCAGAAGCCGCAATGGAAACTGACTTGGGGAAGTGTATTTCTGAGCCTGTCTTGGTATCAGTGACTTTTGATTGTGTTTGACCACAAGAGGGCAGCAGACCATTAACTCTCACAGCAGGTCAAGGCATGTCCACCTGAGGAGCCTGCAGCCGGGCTGGGCAACATGTGGTCTCCCCAGTGGTCCCCAGGCCCCCGCTGAGTTGCTTGTGGGGCGAGGCTGTCGGCAGGGAAGGGCTGACACGGGCACTGCAGACCCTAAGCCTGGTACCGAGGGGTCTGAACTCTGGGCAGCGCCATGTGAGCTGCTGGACCTGTTGGCTGGCCGGCGCCTCGTCCAGCACCGGCTCCGAGTGCACTGGCACCGCCTGGTGGCCGAGCCTGCACCCCCTACGCTGGCGGCACAGCCTTCCTGTGGCGGCGTCATCTCAGTCGCGTTCCGGGAATGGTGGCGCTGCTGTCGTGAGAGTTGAAGTAATTAATTGTTAAGTGTGAAAAGATCATGTGTATTTGATCCTTTGCATGCTCAGGATATGAGGAGAAAGGACGTGCACGTGGGAGTTAAGACTGCAAGTCCTTCTCTGGTCTTTCCAGCTCCTCCCGTGCATGGGTCTCCTTTTCTGTTCCTTTCTCTCCCCGCTTCTCGGGGGGGAAGGGGAGGGCAGGCAGCCTGGGGAGGTGGGGCGACGGGGTGGTGGATGTCTAATAAATTAAGTTATAAGCATCAGGATATGCACTAGCAGTTGGTTACGTGTTGACTTTTTAACTTGGTTTCATTTGTAGACTGTTTATTACCCGAAATGTAAGCACCTTCCTCTCATGCCATCTGAGATTGAAAATCCACTCTTGGTTTGAACTCTGGTATGATTTATGAAAAACAGAATGTTCGTAAAACTTTTGTGTCTTAACATGAGCATTTGATTGTTTTTTAAAAAAGAAAATCTTGAAAACCTTCGTGTTTAAAATTAGCCTCATGTTTAGAATCCTAATGGTTTGAGTCAGTTCACCTGAAAAGTGAGCCCGTGCCTGGTCCTCGCTCCCAGGATCCAGCAGGCGAAGGTGCGGATCCTGCCCGAGTGCGTGCTGCCCTCCACCATGGCCGCCGTGCAGCTCGAGTCCCTCAACAGGTGCCGGCTGGTGCCGGCCTCGCCCGCCCGGGAGGACCGGCGCTCACCCCAGTGGTGGCAGAAGTACCAGAAGGTGAGGCGTCCGCGGGAGACGCAGGCAGCGTCCTGTGGCGTGGCCGTCTCTCTCGTAGGAAAACAGCGGGTGGAGCCTGTTCCTGCTCACCGGATGTTGTATCTGTCTTGGGTAGAAGCAGAGTTTATGCTTTCTGCCACAGGAAGGTTACTAGATTCCAAATCTCGAGTAAACTGACTCTCTGAGATGTATCTTAAAACTCTGGGAAGTTTTCACTGTAACCTGGTGAACCCTGCGTTGATCGCCCCTCACTCTGTCAGAGCGGAGTGAAGGTTTAATTTTAATGTAAATCCGTATCATTGTCCACGAAGCGTCTCTGGCGGGTCAGTGTACACCCCACTCTCCGGTTCTTGGGGTTGAACGCACCCCGTTTCAGACAGGACTCCGTTGCAGCTGGTGGGGGGCGTCGGGCTTGTGACTTGTTCCCGAGGACGCATTGATCTTGCGATTCTGCTGTCTCAGACCCAGTGTTCTAGAAGGTTCCTGTGGGAGTTATCCCTGGGAGGATCCCAGATCCCCACAGCTTGAACAGGTTCTGAAGGGTGGGCAGTGCTGACGCTGACGCTGTATGCTCAGGCCCGACCCAGGCCCCCTCCCCTGGTTGGCTATGTGGAGCGCACACCCTGACGGGACACGGGCTCCTGGATGGGATAGAGCCTGCTCCCAGCCTTGGGGGCCGCGGCTTGTTCAGGTCACAAAGCCGGGGCAGCATGGAGGGGCCCCTGAGCCGGGCCTCGCCTTAATCAGCTCCCGTGCCTCGGTGTGTCTGTGGTGGGATCACTTTACGACGTGACTGTTTTTCTGTTTTCAGAGAAAATTTCATTGTGCAAATCTGACCTCGTGGCCCCGCTGGCTGTATTCCTTGTATGACGCAGTAAGTGACTCACCTTCAGAGAGAGGGCGCGAGATAGAAACATCCGTGATGAGAGAGAATCATGGATCAGCTGCCTCCTGCACGCCCCACACTGGGGATCAAACCCACAGCCCGGGCCCTGACCGGGAGTGGAACTGTGACCTCCTGGCTCCTCGGTGGATGCTCAGCACTGAGCCACGCCGGCCGGGCCTTTCCTGCTTCCTGTGCCTGATACCTTCAGGGCTAGCTATGGAGATGGTTAGGGTTTGAAGGAAGCCTTTGAAGTTTTGTTGGGTCACATGGAGTTACACTTAGAAAAGTAGAGTCCTTTAACAGTGTTTTGGACTTTTCTAAACAAATATGTTAACGTCTTCTAAACAAATATGTTAACGTCTATCTCCTGGTCCCTAGTTGGTCTCTAGTTGGTGTGCTCACGGTCACATCCACAGTGGTTTGCTAACTTTTAATGCCCAACATACCCACCCCCCCAATAGAGCAGAGCCCCCCAGACGGGCTGTCAGAGCAGGTAGAGGAACCTGGGTTTGTAGATACAGACTGTGCAGAGCGTGGTTTCTGTCCCTCTCTGAGGTTTGGGGCAAATCACTGGAGTGTCTGTAACGGGGGGCAAGGTGGCTACTTCGCTTGGCACCCATCCACACTCCACAGTCACGGGTTCCTGGGAGTTACCGTGCCCACAAGTCCCACCTGGGGCTCCACAGGAGGTGCTGAGCTCTTAACACCTGCACAGCCCGAAGGACAGCTCACAACCAACACCCAACACAGGCTTGGTGCGCACAGGGTGAGGGATGCTGAGCTCATACTGTGACAGTGCCTGCGGTTCACGGCCTCAGCCCCGGGTGGCGGCAGGAGAAGAGGCTGATGCCCCCTGAGCCCAGGGCGGGCGCCTGCCAGGCCCGGAGCCCAGGGCGGCAGCTGCAGGCCCCGTGGGTTTGGGATCAGTCCCATGGGAAACAGGCGGACACTGGAATGAGGCCTCACTCGTGAGGACTTCATTGTGCTGAGCGTCTTGGTGTTCTCGCGCTGAGAAGACAGTGAACTGCGTGTGTCTGAGCCTCACTCGGCTCCTCCTGTTTCACAGGAGACGCTGATGGACAGGATCAAGCAGCAGCTGCGGGAGTGGGACGAGAACCTGAGAGAGGACTCTCTTCCTTCCAACCCAATAGGTAGGAAACGTTAGTTGAACGAAACCAGAAGTGTGTGTTTGCTTAACTAGTGTTTCCGTTAGCTTTGAGCTTTGAAAAGGAGTGCATTTAGGAAGTGGGGCTGGAGGTTTAAGTGCGGGACACCCCGTTTCCAGCAGGGCCTTTCTGAGCAGCGCAGGCCGCCCTCCCTGCTCCATTCACGCCCCTGGAGGGAGGCGAGCTGGCTCAGCGGAGCCGTTCTGGGACGGGCACACATCCCTGTGCTGCTGGGGCTGGGTAGCTACTGTCCTGGTCTCTCAGCAGGTAAACCCTAGCGTGTTAGCCTGTGTGATGGGAAAGAGGCTCTGACAGGAACAGTGTGGGAAGCTACGAGGTCACACCTGGCAGCTGCCTGCCTCGGTGCTGTGATGTGAGAATGTTCTCTGGAAAGGACACGCTTCCCAGGTTGAAAACGTGCAAACCCGCCACGTGTCTAAGATTTCTCTTACAGAGTAGCTGCTTGTCTCCCCATCGACAACATGCTGAGGATCCAGCTCCTGAAGATCGGCAGCGCCGTGCAGCGGCTGCGCTGCGAGCTGGACATCATGAACAAGGTGAGCGCGCACCGGGGAGTGGCTCGGGGTCCCCCGCGGCTCCTGCAGGAGCGCCAGGCCTGCAGTGAGGACCGGAGGGGACTGTGTGCCTTCCTGGGCGGTGGGCCCCTCTGTCCGCTCCGTGTGGACGCTGAGGCCGGGAGGCAGTGGCTAGAAGTGCACTCGGACTCCTTGGCGGGTGTCCGGTGGCCTGTGCCATCACATCGCCGTGTGAGGGGTTTCCCCCACTAACCTCCTCCTCATCTTCCAGTGCACGTCTCTGTGCTGTAAGCAGTGTCAAGAAACAGAAATCACCACCAAAAACGAGATATTCAGGTGAGAGATTTATTACATTTCCCAGCCGTCGTCACACGGTTATCATCAAGGCTGTTCCGCTGCCCGTGCACTTGGCCTCTGGTCGCTCAGCAAGTGAACCGTGAGGGCGCGGCCCCTGGCCAGGCTCCCTCTGCCCCAGCGCAGGGACCAAGCAGCACAGGACCGGGCAGCCCTGTGCTGTCCCTGCTGGGCCCTGTTCTAGAGCAGTGGGTCCCCGGGGGGCGGGGGAAAGGGAGAGACAATTCAAGAATGAGTTATTAACTGATTTTTTTGGCATTTCTTTGGTTCTCAGGGCCTCATGTACAGAATACATGCTGTGACCTATTTATGCGTTTCTGTTCTCTGTTATGTTTTAAAACCTTACTTGGTATTTTTTCAGATAATTTTATATTATTTAACTATTTCTTAGTGATTCTTTCCTCATACTTCAACTGCTCTTTTTATTTCTCTCTTTCATGGCTGCCATGTGCTTTTGAAGCTCTTTTAGACCAAGTTAATGGCCTTTCAGGCTTCCTCCTCGCGAATAAGGGTTCACTTTTTGAATAATATGTCACCGGGCAGGGAGATGTAGGATTTGAGAGCTGCTTAGGTGGGCGTGGCCAAAACAAGGTTGGGAAGCACTGGTCTGGAACATAGTAAGGACGTACCAGGCCGCAGGCATCACAGTCCCGTCCTGGCAAACGTCCGTCTTGCCACATCTGGCCTGGGCCAGAGCTGAGGGAGTGTTTGAACCGCTGGTGACAATCCTAACTGCTGTCCGCAGTGGGGCTGAGACCAGCACTGGTCCTGTGGCCAGCGGGGAGTAGTGTGGGCTGAGCAAACCTGGGCGGCTGCCAGCCTGCTGTTGTGGCTCTGAGGCTCCGCTTTTACATAAACAAAGCGAACAGCTCAGAAGTCTTAGCTCCGGTCACCTGGCTCCTTGGTGGGCTTGTCTGAATCTGTAGGGATGAGGCCCCCCGTGTGTGCTGTGCTGACTGACCCTGTGCCGTCTGTTGCAGCCTGTCCCTGTGCGGGCCCATGGCAGCCTACGTGAACCCTCACGGGTACGTGCACGAGACGCTGACCGTGTACAAGGCCTCCAACCTGAACCTGATAGGCCGGCCGTCCACGCAGCACAGCTGGTTTCCCGGGTAATGTTCTGGGCACTTTTCCTTTTGGCTTTGCCTTAATTGGGCACAAAGATTTCTACGGAGCATTGGGTTGAATCACAGCCCAAAGCAGACGGTGGAGCAAAGGGTTCTCTGCACGACCCTCATGCTGCGAGGGCTGGCGCCTGGCCAGGGCTGCCCTCGCATCGGCTCCCTGACAGGGGTGGGGGGTGGAGGGAGAAGGGAGGGAGGGATGGCCCGCGGGTGCCCTCAGTTAACTGCACTGCCCGTCCCTGCCACCGGCAGCCTCCAGCCGGGAGCCCGGGCAGTCCCTCAGCCACGTTCTCTTCAAGAACCCGAGTATGTCTTTTTCTTTTTCTGGACAAAATGAGCTGAGCAGGAGTTAGTGGTTTTACTGCTATAATGGACCTAGAACCATGACAGTCAGCTTAACACCCTTTTTAGTCCAAGGACTAAAACGAGAATTAACGTGTTAACCCAAATTCTAAGGTTGGGACAAGCCCAGGGGACAAGGAAAGAAAGTTACTGACTTCAGAGAGGAAGAGAAAGATCAATGATGAGAGATTATCACTGACCCGCTGCCTCCTGCACGCCCCACACGGGGGATCAAACCTGCAACCCGGGCGTGTGCCCTGACCAGGAATTGAACTGTGACCTCCTGGTTCATAGGTTGATGCTCAGGCACTGAGCCTTCCTGTTTCAGGTTTCAGTTCTGCATGAGAACTTCTGCCCCGAGCACTCCCTCCGGGGCAGCTGCTGCGGAGGCGGCGGGTCGCTGTGTCACACAGGGGCCGGACCACGTGCCCCGCAGGAACTCTGGGCGTGCAGAGCGTGCACCAGAGCTCTGTGCTCTTGATGCTGAGAATAGGGCCCTGGGGCAACGCCCCCCGCAGGGCCACTCCATAAGCTGGAGGCAGAGATGGCCACTCGGCTCACCTTCCCTTTGCTTTTCCTGCCACAGGTTTGCCTGGACGGTCGCCCAGTGCAGGGTCTGTGCCAGCCACATCGGGTGGAAATTCACAGCCACCAAAAAGGACATGTTACCTCAGAAGTTTTGGGGTTTGACTCGCTCTGCTCTGCTGCCCACGATCCCGGACACTGAGGACGAGCTGAGCCCCGAGAAAGTAGTGCTCTGCCTGTAGGCGGCAGGGCCCACGCTTCACCAGCTGTGGCCCCGCCCCGGCAGTTCCTCCTCGGGATGCCCGCTGCTGCGCCCGCTGCTGCGTGACCGGCAGAGCCGCCGGGAAGGGGCAGCGTCTCAGCCACAGGGCTTTGGAGGCGTGGCCTCAACTGCCCTGCGGGCGAGAAGAGCCCAGGACCCTGGCTCTCGGGAACGCCCACCTCCACTGCAGACTGCCTCCCGCCCCGAGCACGGAGCTGATGGAGGGCGACGTGAGGGCGTGCCGAGCGCACATGTCCATGCTCCTGAGGCCGCGCTCAGCGCCCGGGCCCACGGGAAGCGGGAGGCAGCGGGCAGGGCTGTGGAGCCCATTACTGGCCTCTTCCTCTCAGCGTCTGGCTTCCCTGAGACCCCCCTGGTTTGTAAATATTAGAATTGAGAGAGGCAGGTTGAGCCTCAAAGAACCGCTTCCATTTTCTTACGTGTTTGTTAGTAAAAACCCAGGATGGTGTGCATTCGCTCAGTGTCTGACTGGGACACTGCTGGTTCTGCCCCAAGAGCAATCGGAACCTAGACCACTAAGGAGCGAACGCTCAAGTGTGTCCCTTCCGGGAGGCCCGAAGCAGGACGCTATCTCCTTAGGCTGTATTGTTCAGGGCCAATTGAAAAAAACCTGTAAGTAAACTTTAAGAGCAAAACTCAAACACGTTCTTTAAGTCACATGAACCGCCTACGCCAGCAGATGGCGTAGGTGTGAGAAGTAACTTGGAGACGAAGTTCTCGCTACGCTGGTTCGCGCCTACCTCTCAGCTCGTACACTGAGGGTCACTGGTGTCTTCAGGAGTGTGAGCTACTTCACCCAATTCACCGGGGAAAGTTGAGGTAAGGGGTAACACGCGAGGCCCAAACCGACTGTCTTCTACCAAACATGCACCCGTGCGGACTGCCTCGCCCACAGACACCAGTGACCACCCTGCACGTGCCACCTCGTTCCAAACGCCACACTGCCCCATGCTTTCCTGTGGCACTGATGCCTGCCGGGCCGGTGTCTGCCGGCCGCTCTGCACAGCCAAGCTGAGGCTAACCCAGCGAGGCGGGGCGCAGCCGGGACATTTGCCCCTGAAAGTGTCCTCTCTGAATGTTCCATCTTGCTCACTGACACTTGCAAATAAAACGCTAATAAGTGAACACTTGCATATATACTACTTCAAAGTGTGTTATACATGACGAACCCAGACCTGAAACCGCGAAGTCTGCACACCGCCCCCCAGGATGCAGAGACGCTGTCCGGTGGGTCCTGCCCGGGCAGTGGGTCCTGGCGTTTCAGAGTCCTCCCCTGCGCCTGCACTCACGGCCCTGGTCTGGCTCCCTCCCACAGAAGCCCACTACACGGAGGTTAGCGGCTTTCCGAGAAACGGGCTATTGTATAAGATGCTCAAGTGGCTGCACGGGAAGGAGAGCCAATTGTGAAAGGTCAGGGCACAGCCACGGCTGCACAGGCTGAGACGGCCAGGCCAGCCAGCCTCTTCTCGGTGGGAACCAGTCCAGGAGAGGGCTAGCTCAGGGGTGCCAGCACCGGTGACACCCTGCGCAGAGCGGCACGTGGTCTGTGCTCCCGAGGGGAGCAGCCCTCACCCGGTGCCTGACGTACAGCGACTCCCAGAGGGTAAAAGCTTTATTCTCGGAGGACCCTCGGCCGCCTTCGCGCCGCTACCGAGTCTCTCGAGCCTCCGCAGGGCAGAGGGGCGGGCGGCTTACCGAGCGGGCCCGCTGGCGGCGGCTCCCGGGGACTCAGCTCTTCCTGACGTGGCTCAGCAGCTCGTCCTTCTCCATCCGGTAGCCGCTCTTCTTCCACTGGTCCCGCAGCTGCTGCAGCAGCGCCCCGATCTCCTTCCCGGAGGAGACGCCCGCCTTCCGGAGGTCGTGGCCGCTGACGGGGAACGCGGGCACGGACCACCGCTGCAGCTCCCGCAGGAGGCCCGGCTGGCCCTGGTACTTGAGCAGCTCCCAGACGCGGGCGGCGGCGTCGGGCTCCCTGGACTGAGGGCCGACAGCAGACAGGGCCACACCCATTAGAGAGCACGCGAATGGCCCTCGCCTAAAGTCACACACATGCTCAGTCAGTGGGAAATTCTCAGTTAAAATACATGACGTCCACAGAAGACATTGTGGGGCCTTCGTGTTAATGAGTTAGCTTTGCCCGCCCAGCGTGGCTCAGTGGTTGAGCGCTGACCTATGAACCAGAAGGTTACGGTTCCATTTCTGGTCAGGGCACGTGCCCAGTGTGGGGGCGTGCAGGAGGCAGCCAATCAATGATTCTCATCACTGATCTCCCTTCCTCTTGGAAATCAATAAAAATATATATTTTTTAAAAAGTTAGCTTTACTATTCGGACGGGCCGCACTGACCACGACTGGCATGTACTTACGTCTATAATGAAGTCCTGATAGGGTTTCAGTGGTTCGGAACTGTCCGTGGCTTTAGTTAAGTCGTTCCTGTATTTAACTAGAAACAAACCAAGGTTTTTCTCTTCTTTTGAAATCTTCAACCTCAAATCCAATTTTGTGACATCATCCTGTACTTTGAATAATGAGGCCAAGAGAGTCATTGGCTTTGGTGAAAATCCTTCAACATTTTTACTGACTTTGTCGAATTCTTCCAAACTTGCATTCGCAGGTAAACCTGTTGGGATAGGAGCCTTTTTCACCCATCTGTACAGCAGTGACATTTAGTGAGCACGCACCCCCCACACGCTACACCAGCCGCTGCTTTGCTAGGCAGAAAAACCTGAGGCCAGGACTCAGTGCTGGTCCACTCTGGTGCCCTCCATTCACAGGGACTAGTGATGGCTGCTGGCCTCACCCCTCGCCCTGCACACCAGGGTGGCTGTAAAGCATTGTGTCCATTAATTGGCTGAGGAGGCGGCAGAGATGGCCATCAGACCCAAACTCCTGGCCACTCACTGACGTGCGGCCACAGAGCACCCGCTCCTTCAGCACTGGCGGGGCCGGCTGGTTGGACCATCATCCGTGCACCCAAAAGACACGAGTTCAATTCCTACTCGGCATGTACCGGAGACAACAGACCAGTGTTTCTCTCAAAAAACCGTAGAAACATATCACTTGAGGATTTAATAAAAGAGCATCCACCTGCTCCAACAACTGTCTGTATTCAAACTATCCCCAAGTTTCCCCACACAAGATGCACAGATAATCCCTGTTCTGAGTGTAAATTATAACAGCTTCTATGCCTGCCACTCTTCTGAGCGCCTTGCCTGTTAACTCACCGAACCAGCCGATTAGAAAGAGGCTGTTACTTTCATTCCCAGGTTTAGATTCAGAAACTAACAGGCGAGGAACTAACCCACGTCACAGAGCCAACAAGTGGCAAAGGCTCATTCCAATCCGGTCTGCCACAGGGTCCACTGGACCACCAGCCTATGCCGAGTCCGAGTTGTCTGTCCCTAACCGTGACAAAACTGTCCTACCCCATCCTCAACGTTTATTTTGAAATATTCCACTTGTCCTTTGCGGATTCTTCATCTGAACTAAACACCTTCCCCACAGGATGCTAAGCCGGGCGCTTCACTTCCGTAAGTGCGGAACGTGCAGCCCGGCCTCACCTATGTAGGGAGCCACGTCGAGGTCGTAGATGAGGTGAACCAAATGATTGACGTGATTTCCAACCAGAATTTTCTTCAGCTCCACCCAAATCCTCTCTCCTGAAATTCCGCCCAGGCCTTTGGCGTTTTCCGCAATTGCTTCCAAAGTCTCAGGATCGTGGTCACCAGGTGCGTCTACAATTCTCCCGTAAAACCTACAAAACAGAGTTCTCAGAGTGGATTCCCGCTGTTGGCACCTGCCCAGGAAGATCCTTTTCCAACTTCCTGGGACCTTTCCCACCAGCCAATCACAAGCATACAACCGGTACCTTCCCCACCAGCCGATCACAAGCATACAACTCGGTAGGGCTAGCAGGGGACTGAAATCCTATGGACCGTCCTCTGCCTTCTCTTTTTCTACACGAGAAACCCGAAAGCCAGTAAAACACAAGTAACTTAGTTGGCAAGAGCCAGGCCGCCACCTCGCTCACTTGCACGTCGCCTAGGGAGTTGGGAGGGGCCCCCAGCACAGTCCCTGAGTGAAAAGGGCCTCCTGATCCAGGCGCCCAAACGAGGCCGAATGCGACCCGAGCAGCCCAGCTCGCACGCTGCCTGCCTGCCACATCGGACTGACGGACGTCTCTGATGGAACCTGCCTGACCCTGGTGCTGTGCTTCAGCATCTCAGCCCTGACCTCAATCCACCCGTCCACTCATCCTTGGCTCCGTCTCCCCTGGAGAACCACATGGGATGTCACCACTTTGTGCACTGACTACTGTGCCTGTCACAGGGTCAGAATTATATTCTGGTAATAACTATCATTCATTTTAAACATCCTTACCTGAAATACCTTAAAATTCTAAGGTAATCTTCTTGTATCCTCTTTTTAGCATGTCCAACAAATCTCACTTTCTTATTTTTTAAATCTTCATAACCATTAAAGTAGTCATATAAAGTACCATCAAAGCCTGTTCATCGGGAAAGGGGAGAAAGATGACAAATGAGAACTGGAAAGCCAGGTGGTAGGTGTACAGATGGAATATTACGCGGCCATGAAAAAGAACAAAACCTGCCACCAGGAATGTGGGGCCCCGCGGGCACCGGGCTAAGGGGGCAGGGCAGACAGAAGCTGACGGCAGAGCCCTTGCTTCACGGCTGGCGAGCGGCGGTGAATGCGGCCACTGTGCCCGCCTCTGAGGCAGCCTGGCGGGCACAGGCGTGGGCACGGGCGCGGCTGCAGGGCGGGCCAGGAACCAGGGCCCCCAAGACGGGCACGCAAGGACCGCGGTGCACACCCATCCCCACGTTACCCAGGAACATGGAGTTGACAGTGAGGTCTCGGCGCTCGGCGTCTCTCTGCCAGTCAGTCGTGAATTCCACCTCTGCGTGTCTTCCATCCGTGACCACGTCAATCCGCAGTG